ACGTCTGGAATGATCACAACATAGTGATTTGTAAATTGAAGCTTAAATTAAGAAGAAGCAAGAAAAAGACTGTAAGCCCGTTATTTGATTCAGCCCAGCTCAGGACATTAAAAGTCGAAGACGATTTTTGCGTCGAACTAAGAAACCAGTTCGAGGTGTTTAACCACCTACCAGAGACAGCAAATATTGAAGAAGAATGGGCACAGTCTAAAAAAGCGTATTGCAATGCAGCCCAAACAATACTCGGTATAAAGAAACATGTGAGAGAGGAATGGATTTCTAAAAAAATCTTGGTCTAAAATAGAAAAAAAAATGCAAAAAGAGCACATAAACCTTGCAAAGAGCACATTGGAAAATTTGGCCACACAGAAAACATGCAAAACCAAACATAAAAAAGTGAAGAAAAGCTTAAAGAAAGACAATAAGGAATACTTGGAACTCAAAGCTGCCAACGCGGAAGAAGCAGGTACTGCCAGAACATTGTATATAAAAAAAGAATCTTAGTCGGAAATATTTAAGCTTTAATGAAGGAAGCCTGAGAGACAGAACAGGAGAAATAATCACTACGGAAAGAAGAGGAAAAGCTGACAGATGACAAGAATATTTTACCGATTTGAAAAATGGGCCAGCATCAGAGATCCCAGTGAAAACAGTAGTAGGCCAACTTCTAGAAATGGATATTGGGCCAGTCAGTGTAAATGAAGGGAAACAGCAATAAGCAGTTTGAAGACTGGGAGAGCACCAAGTGAAGACCAAATTAATGCTGACATGTTGAAGGCTGACCCACAAATTACAGCAGAAGAATTACATGGCATATTTAACAAAATATGAATAAATGAAGAGGTCCCAACAGACTTGGAAAAATATGTTGTGATCATCCAGCTACTAAAGGAAGGTGATCTCTCATACTGCAACAGTTGAAGAGGCATAACGTAACTCTAACTTCGTCCTTCTTAGGACGAAATTTTTTGTCATTTGAAGCCCTACTCTGGCTTTTGTCAGGGGCCGCAATATAGGCAGGTCATATATGGCCAAATGTCTGAACGCGGTTTCTGGGACCTCTCCACGGTGATCCTCATCCGCATGGTGACACTTTTAGTCATCGGGTGTTTGTCGCTTGTGTGATGTCCTGGTGGGGTAAAAAATCCAATCCAATCCAATCCGAGGCATAACGTTATTGTCTGTACCCGGAACGGCACTCTGTATTGTGATATACAACAGAATGAAGACGTCAATAGACAAGAGCTTTGTCGGAAAATCAGGCAGCATTCAGAAACTACTGTAATCATATTTTCACACTCAAGAAATTTTGTAGAACAAGCTTTAGAATGAAATGCCACATTATATATATACACTTTATACACTTAGAAAAGTACTTTGACAGTCTAGATAGAACATTGATATGGAGGATCGTTGCTGCGTTTGAGTTGTAAAATCTATCTATCTTTTTTTTTTTCTCACCCCACCAGGACACCACGCAAGCGATAAACACCCGATGACACAAAGTGCCACCATGTGGATGAGGATCACCGTGCAGAGGTTCCAGAAACCGAGTTCAGACAATAGACCATATTTATGGCCTGGCTATATTGCGGCTCCTGACAAGAGCCAGGGTGGGGCATCAAATAACAGATGAGGATGACTGACTGACTGACTTTCTACCCCACTAGGACATCACGCAAGCGATAAACACCCGATGACACAATGTGCCACCATGTGGGTGAGGATCACCGTGGAGAGGTCCCAGAAACCGCGTTCAGCCTTTAGGCCATATTTATGGCCAGGCTATATTGCGGCCCCTGGAAAAAGCCAGAGTAGGGCTTCAAATAACGAAACATTTTATCCTGAAAAGGACAAGAAGTATTATACTTTGTAAATCACTGTGAGAAATAAATTGTAGCAAGATTTTAAAGAACCGTTAAATTGACTGCAGACGATTATTTTGTTGTTGTTGCCTAAACACCTTGCATAAACCATACAGTCTGTATTATAAATAATAATATAAATCTTCTTCTTTTGTCAAAATCTGCTTGTGCCGCTAGGCGTCGCAGTCTATCAGATGATCGGCAACCGAGCCAGGGCGCGCTCAGTCGCTTCATATGCCGTGATGTTATGAAGTCTCAAGTTGTCCGTGACTCCTTCAATCCATCTTCTTCTTGGTCTTCCCCTGCCTCTTGTTGTTTCGATTTTCATGTTGTATGCTCTTGATGCTGGCATCGTTGGTTCCATTCTCATTAGGTGACCAAACCATTTCATTCTTTGCTTCTCAATAAATTTAACGATGGGTATGGTTCCAATAGTTCTTGTAATCACATCGATTAACAATTTGAATATTGCACTTCCGCTTTCAGAACACAGAAGTAGATATTTTTAGCATTCTGCTAGGAACTATCTCTCTTCGTTAAATGATTCGAAATTGCTTCCTTTGAATGTTCTGCATTTTCGCTCTTCAAAGAAATTATTTGTGCATTAGCCAAAACTAAAGCAGCATTTCAAACGATGAGCCTATTTTATGTAAAATATCTTTGCTATTTTGGTCAGGTCTTTCTCGGAGAGAAGAAAGGTGTATGGAAGTGAGCCGTTGGACAGTCAGCGAATTGGTGAGAAGTTGGACTCTTTATAATTATCCTATCCCAGATGACGTCACAGGACAGTCCAACATTTTAGAGGGCGGTAAGACTGGGTTTTCCGGCTTTCTGATGCTTTTAACGACCCCAAAACATCTAGAACTGGCCCAAACCCCAATGTCAGTGGAAGTTGTTATTGGGTGGGATTAAAGAAGAATCCTACGTTATGTTACGTTATCGCGATCGAAGTCTCTATGCGCTTTCAGTCCTCCGATGCAGTAGCCACTCCAAGGCACCTCTACTGATTGTTCCTATGAGGAGTTGGTTACACTATCTCCTGTATTTACATGGAAAACGACATAGACGTGCTTCATAAGGCTTAACCCCTCGGTAACGCACTCGTGTTATTGTCAGTGATTCGCCATTTTCTCCCCCCTTGTCCGCACAGCGTTGAGGATACCAGCTCTTCTTCACGTTTGCATTGGTGCATTACTTGCCAGCGGATCAGCTCTTTCATTACTATTTACTCCCTTGTGCCCAGGTCCATTCAGAGCATAGACTACCTGTCAAGAATTACAAATGAGTAAATGTAAAAAAAGTAAAGGACCCTTTTCCACGCCCTTAGGCGTATAGGGCATATAGGGCTAGACATATATTTTATAGCCCAGTCGGCACAAGATGGGTGATATGGTCAGCATCACGCCGGCTGCCTCTACTTCCCGGGACTGCACCCGGTACCCACTCAAGGCTGGGTCGACCTGGGAGCCAAGGTCATTGTTAAAAAAAGTCCCGCTCCGCCAGGGAGCGAACCCACGACCTTCCGATCCGCGGCGAGCGTATTACAAATTAGATTCATGAAATGTTTTGCATACTCAATCATGCTGTGAATGAGAGAATGCATTGACATTACTGCACTCGGGACATTCCCACACGTGCTCCGTCTTCTTCTTTATTACCCAACGAAGAGTTGATATACTAATACAGGATATGCCTTGAAAGTAACTGGACAAGCGCTGTAGCTTCGCCTTTATTTCAAGCTGTATGATAGACATGGCCAATGAAGACACCATTTCTGGGGGTTGCTTAGTTGACCGTATTCTTAGTGCACTGTTTCCATAGCGAGGCGCACACGGCATTTGGAGGTGACTGGTTCAAATACCGGCACGACAACTATAGTTTTCGATATTTATGTCTTCTAGTGTGTTCTTCTGTCTTTCTACTTCTGTCTATGGGTGCCAATCAATACATTGTCTGTTTGTTTATTACATTTAATATTTATACGGCCTCAAAGGTTCCCCCTCTGTTTATTTATATGAATGACGTATACACAATGGAGTTGGCAACTGTGGCTTAGGCGTTACGAACGCGCTTTGTAATGCCGGGGTGCCAGGTTCGATCCCAGCTGCGGGCCTTGCGCCTTGTGTTGGTTTCGACAGTGGTATCGAGAAGCCGACCGTGTAGTAGGCAATGGCAAACTACTGGACGTAAACTTGCCTTGAAAAACCACACCAGCCAAATTAATGCTGAGGTTAGTTCTGCAATACACATTGAAACCTTCCAATCTAATACCTTTAAATGTTTGTGTATTCTAGACAAAGCATTACTGTTTACTGTGTTTGTAAATCGTTGCTGTATTTGTTATTCGACCTATGCTTCTTGAATATAAATTTATGTAACCTAAGGTGCCATTTTAGTGGTTTGAAATGAATTCTGACCGTATTCCACAGTTGTGGATTTCAAGCTGTACGATAGACATGGCTAATAAAGACACTTTGGGGGGGGGGGTGTGTCTAATTGACCATGTTCTTAGTGAAACTGTTTCCATAGAGAGGCGCACACGCCATTTGGGACATTCAGTTGACGCTTCGTTCCGCACTGAGTTCCAATTCCCACGGTACCGGTAGAATGGAAACCTCCAAGGGCGGGGTGAGTTAACTGATGCAGAATGGGTTAAGCTTAAACTGATCGTATCACACATGTCTCAATCCGATAATAATCAGAGTCAAAGCGGCTATACAGCACGTGAAAATTATCTAATCTATGAGTGTATAACGTCACCTGATTTATTCCACTTGAGTATTTTATCAGTGTATTTATTATTATGAAGTCAATAGCTTGCACGTCGATGCGCACGCAAGTCATTCACTTGTTACATACACTTTTCTTTGTGAATTATTTCTAAGGTATTCTTTAATGTGTGTGGTTGTTTTATTCGCGAGGCCAATCTAACACTGTAAAGTATAATTAGGCGTCAAAAGACAAAAGGATATAAGTTTAACATTTGGAAAGACAGCTGAAAGTAAAACGAAAGAAGTGACTTGTGGGAAAGTAACACAGTCTTAGGGCGTCTTTTACCAGTTTTTTTTTTTTTTTTTGCTGTCGTCTAAGACTAAAGTGATTTATTGTTTTAGCCAAAAAACGTTAAGTTAAACGATGTCGCCTAGAACAATCGTTTATGCCAGTTTGTCCATTTTATTATTACCGACAGTTTTGGAGAAATCTTTTATATACTCATCTGAGAATGGAATTCCCTGTATACGTCTTGATATTACCTTCACAATGGTCTTTACGGCCGATAACGACGTCTTTGAGGCATCAACATCAAGAACAGATAGCGATGTACAGAGCACACTTGACAGTTGTGACTACACCAGTCTCGCTCTTGCATTCAGCGACGACACACACTGGAGCCTGTGGTTTCATCAAACTTCTAATGGATCAGATCAGTTGGACAGTAGTGTACTTTTTGTTCCCACCGATGTTTTTCAAAATAATGCCACTGGTCCAGATACAACGTTACTTAATGATGAAGCACCAGTAGAACTGTTTAATACCTTACAATCTTACAAGTGTGACAATCTGAAGCTGTTTCAGTACAGTAAAACGGCATCCGCTTCTGGAAAACCCAACTACATTGTGCAAGTAGCTGTATCCAGCTTTCAGGTTCAGACTTTCGATTTGAACGGTAGAATATCAAGCCCAAATGTCTTTTGTCTACAAGATAACACCACGAATACGACATCATCCCCATATGAAACAACAATACCGTCTACTCATAACAGCACATCAGCTTCAACAGATATATTGTCGTCAACAGCAACAGTTTCTCAATCAACGGAAACTCCAACATTCAATACAACAATGACCCCAACACCTTCAAAGCCACCTCTCAACAACTACACAGTCCATGGTGAGAACGTTACATGTATTTTATTACAAGGAGCTTTTAAAATGAACATCAACTACCCAACCAACATGTCACAAACAAGTACACAAACCGCTTCTGTTGATATTCCTGCTGACGCAACAAGCACCGGAAACTGCAGTCTGTCACTTGATTCACAAAGTCTGGTTATATCTTTCTTTAAAGACTGGTCGCTAGAATTCGTATTTACCTTAGAAGATCTGGTTTTCCTTTCAGCGACGTCAGCGACAAGTGATGCTAGCTATGGCATCACTAATATAACCCTTACGTACGTGGTCACTCCGGAATTATTTCCAGAATCCGCTATCCCACCAGGCTCAAAAGTAACTGTCTTCCCACATGGTTCCAGCGAAGCCGACTACCCAAGAAAGGCCAGCAATAAGGCGTTTTATAAATGTGATAGAGACGTAGACGTTAAACTACAAGCAGGGGTTACCTTGCAGGTATCGGAGCTTCATTTTACCGCATTTAACAACAACGAAAACATAACGTTTGCAGGTAATGCCGAGAACTGTCTATCTGATGAGCCGACTAGTCATACTGTTCCGATTATAGTGGGATGTTCGTTGGCAGGTCTTGCCGTTGTTGTTGTTACGGTATATACTATAGGCAAATGTAGAAACAAGCAAAGAAGAAGTTACTTCGGTATATAAAGTCTGAGGCATCTATGAAAACAAACAATGGAGCAATTGTCCAGGAGCAAAATATACCATCATGTCAGCTTGTTTGGGAAATTTAAACACAGTATTTATTAAACACCTAACTCGTTACTTTTATAAGTTTGTAGTACTAAAACTTCATCTCGTCACGAAAGAGCTAATAGACTGAAATGGTTGGGGCATATTGAGAGAATATCAGATGACATAAAAGTGAAAACTGTATACACAAGGGAGATGAATAGTCGTAGACAACGAGGCAGACCAAGAAGACGACAGAGAGATAATGTCTAGGCAGACCTGCAAACACTTGGTGTCACCAACTGGAAAGAGAGGTCTAACCAGAGAGATAAATGGAGGTGGGTGATATCTGCAGCAATGAACCTCAAGGGCTCGGAATGCTTAAGAAGAGAAAGAAGAAGAAAAGTGTCGATTGGTCCATAAAATATAGGTCAACCAGTACATGTCCCATACGCTTGAAGGCACGGAAAATGGTCCTTTACTAACTGCAGTTAGGACTGTGTACTACTATTTGTGCTGCTGCGGCTACTACTACTGTTACTATTGTTGCTGCTACTACTGTTACTACTTCTACTATTACTGATGCTGCTGCTACTACTACTTCTGCTACTATTGCTGTCATTACTGCTGCCGTTACTACTACTGATACTGCTGCTACTACTACGGTACTGTAGAATCCTTATCTCTTTCGACAGCAGGATACGCCAGAGCCTCACCTGGTGTTCCCGTTATGGGTGCACTATTATAACGGTAAAGAAACTACACAGGGAGATAGTGGGAGGGGGGGAGGGGGGGGGAGGGGGGGGGGGGGGGGTTGTCCTGTCAAACTGTCATAGAGGACAAAACAGACACACAGCATTGTAATATTCAATGTAGCTGTTCATGATGCCCTAATTACTGATGAATGAGTATCTGAGTTAGTTTTGTTCCTGTTTTAGTGATACCTAATCCAAATTGCAGCTCATAGATTGGCTGGAGTGTCAAACCTTGTGGTAGCGCCCACTGTGAAAGCCAGCCATACTTGTATTGTGCAAAAAAGAGGGAAAAATGGGGTGGGGGGAGCGTAGGAAAACAACAACAACAACAAATGCTGTGCAAAGAGTACTGCATTTTAATCCACATAATGCTGTTGAAAAAAATACTGAGTGCAAATTAGTTAGGCAATTTATAATAAAAGTCTGCATAAGGATAATAATTTTAAAAAGATCTTTTTTGTGTATGAAAGATTACGTCAGATACAATACTTTTATCTCCTGCTCTGTTGATATTTATTAAGACCTCCCGCCCCCCCCCCTCCAACCCCTTTCCATGCACCCCTTTCCCACGTCTGCTACCTAAAGATCTAACCACACTGAAATTATAAAATCTATCCAACAATTCACCATTTTTGGACATATGAAGAACAGCCATATATTCTGACACTGCTTGATTGACAAGAAGCCAGTCAAACCTGACAACCTGATTAATACATATGAATAGCAGCCAATCATTTTGACTGACTGATCAGTGCACACGGAGACTAGCCAATCATATATGATGCACTAAGTAAGCTAATCACATATGACACATCGAATAACCAATCATATAACTAGATAAGTGAACAGACATAAAGAACAGCCAATCACACATAATGCTTTGCACGGATAAAAAGTTAAAATATCTGTGCACTATAAGCACGCAGAATTTGGCGATACTATTCTTTCTAAAAAGTTATTAACACACTTTGACTTACATCTCCAACTCTGAAGACCATTTGTTATTTTTATCTTGACAATCTGTATTTTCAGATAATTTACTGATGCTATGCCAAAGTCACCTGGGTGCAGTTTAATCATTTTTAGTTATCTGCATTTTCGGGGCTGTTATATGCCACTATACAAGATGCAAAAGGCACATATGTGAATTCCTACTCCAGATGCCTCAATATCAGTCGACTAACTGAGAGCTTCCTTCAAAGTCGGAGTGCATCTGCCTGAGAGGCAAGGAACCAACAGCCTGCACACAAATGTGTCAGATCTGTCAAATAGATGCACAAGCAACACTCAGGTTCTGGAACAGGACTGCACAAGTGAAGTGCAGAAGTGGACAAAAACCAGAACGTTCCACTAGAGTTTACAGCTTGTAAACGCACAAGAGAAGAAGAAGACATTCATGCATGTATGCAAACACCCTGCTCGCGCACATATGGAACCATTAGAACAAAGTACACTATAACACTACAATTTTAGTTACAGACTTAAATAAAAGCCATTCACCAAGAATTTACAACACACAGATACATTCACACACACATACACAAATAAATAAATAAATCACTTTAGAAATTATCCCAGTAAATATGTCAAACTACTATTTACATTAACTAAGGAAGACTATAATAATTAACTGCTCTTAAAAGTCTTGAAATATCATTTAGATTTCTTTGGTCAGTTTTCAGCTATTATCTTCAAAGTCCTCTTCAGTTTCATAAGAAATTTGACAAGAAATATGACTACAAGTATTATTCAATATTTGTGGACAGATAAACATAAGTGGTGTGGCCGCTAAGCTGCTTGAGAAATGGTAGAAAACCTCATAATGTACCAAATAACTCAGCAATTGTTTATTGATTGTCACTTTCATGACACACTGTATTTTTCCGTGTATGAGACAATGTTTTTCTAAATTGTTTAAAGTTTAAAATTGGGTGTCGTAATACACTAAATGTGATTAAAACATCTATTTCTTGATTTGGGCTTAAAAAAAAATAAATATATGTTTTATTAATATCCTACCCCAAACAGGGGAAATCCACCTATGGCTGCACTCTCTCGTGGGGCGTAGGTAGGTTGGGGGTAGGGTCAGTTCTAGATGTTTTGGGATCATTAAAAGCATCAGGAAGCCAGGAAACCCAGTCTTACCATCCTCTAAAATGTTGGACTGTCCTGTGACGTCATCTGGGGTAGGATATTAATAAAGAACCAAAAATAGTAGTTGTCATAGTGGTAAACTAACCATCTAATGAACTAACCAGTTGGTGAACTAACAATCTAATGAACTAGCCAGCTAGTGAACTAACAATCCAATGAACTAACCAGCTAGTGAACTAACAATCTAATGAACTAGCCAGCTAGTGAACTAACAATCTAATGAACTAACCAGCTAGTGAACTAACCAGCTAGTGAACTAACAATCTAATGAACTAACCAGCTAGTGAACTAACCAGCTAGTGAACTAACAATCTAATGAACTAACCAGCTAGTGAACTAACAATCTAATGAACTAACCAGCTAGTGAACTAACAATCTAATGAACTAACCAGCTAGTGAACTAACAATCTAATGAACTAACCAGCTAGTGAACTAACCCACTCTGCCAGTATTGTTAATGTAATTCTTTCTCAGTGCTTGCTGTGCTGCTGAAGATTTTCAAACATGCACAAATTCCTGGTTAACCTAGCCTATTTCTTAAGATTTTCAAACATGCACAAATTCCTGGTTAACCTAGCCTATTTCTTAGGATTTTCAAACATACACAAATTCCTGGTTAACCTAGCCTATTTCTTAAGATTTTCAAACATACACAAATTCCTGGTTAACGTAGCCTATTTCTTAAGATACAGCAAGTTTTTGTTGTTGTTTAAAAAAAAACTTGTTTGGGAACTAAAAGAGTGTGAATAATAAAATGTTATATAATACTTTACAACATATGAATCAGATTACATATATTAAGTAAATTATCAGAGCAAGTAAGGTTAGCTACTGCAAATTTTGGGAGCTTATATATAGGATAATAAAATCATGACATTCACTAAGAAAAATATGAATGAAGGCAAATGAGGCAAGCTACTGCAAACTGCCCATTGAAAATAATAAAAATCACTACATTCCTTAGGATTACACACACTAAGTAAAATAAGTAATAATCAGGACATCTGAGGTGAGCTATTGCAAAATAACTGCCTACCTAAGATAATAAAATCATTACATTCATTAAGATTACAAACATTAGGTGAAATATTAATTAGGACAACTGAGGTTAGCCACTGCAGGTTATTTGCCCTTACAAGATAATACAATTGATCAGTAACTGACGGCCCAAATGGTTTGAAGATTCACTGTTAGGTTACTCTTTTCAATTTCCAACTGCCAAGGGATTTTTTTACGTGCTCAAAAAATGCACATGGGCGTCCGATCTCACTACCCAGAGAACAGGGGGAATAACTAGAAGTCCAAGTCCAGGTGAAAAAAATCCCAGCCCTTACCGGGGATTTAACCCGGAACCTTTTAGTATTTGAGGCGGACACCATGCTACAACCACCCATTGTAAAATGAGTCCACATACCGAGCCTCCTATCAAATGATAACAAGTTGGTTCGCAAGTCTTTTGGTCAAGAGTCCTACTAAATGGAAACATCCTACTTGGTGATTCAACAGGTTCAGTTTGTCTTCCCTGACACACCATTTCTTCCTAAAGCCAGAAATAACAGAGATGCCTTTTTTAATGACCCAGCACAGCAAATCAATTTCACACCTCATTTTGAACCAACAACAAGCCCCTTTACAGGTCTGGTTATTCATATGCCTCCGCCTCCCCTATTCTGGGTTAAAACAGATCCACTACCAAAAAAAACAAAAAAACAAGCATGTTGTAAAAAAAAAAAAAATAGGTAATTAAGGGTTTGCTGATACCCAATGTATTTGGTCAAAAGGTGACAAATTGACAGCTTAGCTGTAATGCACAACACAACATGTCAACTGCCCTTTCAAGGGCAAATGCAGAAAAGGAAGCCCCAGTCAAAATTATCATTAAAAAAAAAATTATCCTACAGAACCAAAAGCTGGCTTATTGCATTAAAACAAACAAACCTTGTGACCAGCTAAGTAATTAACTTGTACCACATTATGATGTTCACATGTGGATTCACATAATGCTCTGTCAGCAGTGAATCCACAGTTAGAACCACATGGGTTTTTCCTATTAAAAAAACTGTCTGA